CCCCCCCCCCCCCCCGGAGACAAACATTTGAACAGCTTATGCACTACCACATTTGCCTAAATCTCGTCTTTCAGATGATGTATAGGTTACAGTAGCATGCTTGGTAACTGAGAATGTCAGAATTATAGGACAATTTTTACACATTTTAATTAAAATTTTACTCCTTTTTTGCTACCTTAAATCTAAAGGTTTCATTGGCTACACAAGACTTTTGCTTAGTAATTCCTCAACCATTGCAAGGAATATTATACATCTGAACCAATAAAATTTAAAAAAAAGTTTCAATTTCATATTTGCAGATCCAGATGCTCATTTTGAATAGTAATATCACTACAGTTGGTTCGAAATTTTAAGACGAAAACTTATGTAAACCGGTTATCAGGAAACTGGAAATTGTCTACCCGAGACTCTGATGGCCAAAGCACACAGATTGGTCAAATTAGTGTTTGATCCTCCTTTCATTACTACATTTCATTGAAATTAACGCTTGTTTTTTACAATTTTGCATCGTTATTTTGAAAAATGAGTTTTGTCTACTATGGTTGTTGCCGTATTTGCTTACATGTAGTACCGTATTAAACAGGTCCATTAAACAGCCTGGAACCTCAGACCACAAACATGTCTGACCTCGGACAGACCGTGCGTCATAGGCGCAATCTCTATTATTACGTGCAGACTTAGCTGGTGGGAATGAAATTATGAAGTCCATACTATCTGCATAACTAGTTATGTCAGACACCAGTTGCCGTACAAGTGAAGGCAGCCATTCGTTGAACCAAAACCGCCCTCAATGTTAGTTTAAGTTTCCCACAATTCTATCGTACTCCCTAGCTAAGCAAAAAGAGTCTAATCTACGGCCCGAATCGTGTCGAAACAATGATCTACGCATTCGGTCCGGAAATTAATTTACTTGTACGTTTGCATTCCTTTTGTCTATCATGTAGAAAATATGATCAAACTTTTTTAAACTTGGTATCGCTAGTGTCCATACTAGGTAGGCTAGGTAGTCTACAATGGATGCGCCCGTGATTGGAGGAGAGATAAACAAGTTGCCTTCACACATAGTACCGGTACTAGTAATTGGCCACCAAAAGAATGTGAGCGTCGTTGACTTCAGTTTCTAGTTGCACACATTGCTGTTTTAGCAAAAAAAAATCTGAAATGGACGCTCAGGTGGATAAAGACATGCTGATTTTACAGCTTTCAGAAGTGGAAATGCTGGCTAGTATGTACCCAGCGGAAGGCGAATTCGAGCTCGATGACCCATTATTGGTTGCCGAAATGAAAGACTACATTGACGATAAACGTGTAGAAACTCCATCACGGCTTTCATTTGGATTGCGAGTCAACTGTACGGTGAGTATGACCATTCATGCGTTATGTCGACCACACCTCACAAGCGGTGGGGGTGGGGGTGATTGGGTAGCACAGAAGTCTTTCGTTGACCAGCGTGTCTGGTAAGCCAATACTTGTCACTATTAACACAAATACTGTGGAATACTTTATTTTCGCTGGAATTAATTTTCGCTGAAAAGGCTTTTTGGGCATTTTGTATGGAATTTATTTTCACTGATTTTTGATGAGTTTAATGTAAAATATAGGAAAAAAAGTATATTCGCTGGATTTTATTTTCACGGAATCATCCCTTCAGCGAAAATAGCGAAAATAAATTCCAAGCGATAATAAAGTATTCTACAGTATACTGTGTCGCACCTAGTCGTGCCAATTCATTGGTACGTCATAGACGCTACAGAACATCGTACATCGATAGTGTATAGTGGTCTTCAAAAAGATCTCTAGTCATCCAATGTTTAATATGGTAACTTCACATTTTACACGTGTACGAGTAAAATAAGTGTAAAAACTAAAATTGTTTTAAATTAATCATATTTGTGCCTAAAGTCATCTATACGGTCAGATACATTTTTTTAAGCGACTTCAGTCAAGCTGAATAACCCAAGATCTCTATAAAAATAGGGTGACAAACAGTTGTATAGTCGCAATGAATTAGTGACGTCAAAAGATCGATGTCGGATAAAAAACTTGTTTGCTTTAGTTTAGGGGTGGGGGGGGTTTGACCTCAAAAAGTTTTCATCCTACAAAAACGATTTTATTTTTTAATGAAGTCAAAAAAACGTTGGAGTATTTGTAGTTCGTTTTTTTTTCTATCCAATCATAGACAAAAACAAAATGAAAAAAAAACATCCAAGCAAGAAAATGGTTTGGTCAGAGTGTAAATATTTGCGTCAAATGTGGTCAATTTCTGGTCATGGACCTAGAGCATGCGCAAAACCCTGAAAAGTAGTTTGCGTATATTCCGCTTCATTATTACAACCAACTGCTACGCCATACTACTGTCCGATTATCAATTTGTATTCAATGGTTAATGTAGTCTGATGCCATGATCAATATTTATCAATTAAGTTTCAGTGGGGGGGGGGGGAGGAACTAAAAGAATTAAGTTTTTTATCCGACATCAATCTTTTGACGTCATCCCTTAGGATAGTTAATTTTTTGAACATTAATATAATTCTCGTTCTAGGTCACACAACCAGCAGTTCAGTTTGAATTGCTATGTAGTCTACCACATCAGTATCCTAAAGTGGAACCAGAAGTGTTTGTACGATGCCAGCTTTTGTCTCGACAACAGCAGAAACAAATCAATGAAGACCTGTCCATTTGTATATCTGAACAAGAAAGAGGCGACATGTGCATTGGTGAGGCTGTTCAGTGGCTTCAGGATAATAGCTACAAGTACATTGATGGAAATGAACAGAATATGCCCAAATCTGTAGCATGCCCAGAAGTGAAAGATGCCACTTTCACACGCCTTTGGATACAAAGTCATCACATACGAAGTAAATTTAAACGTAGAGACATACTTGACATGACAGCCGAGATGTCGCTTACAGGATTTTGTCTCCCTGGCAAACCAGGTATAATATGCGTTGAAGGCTATAAGGAAATCTGTGAGGAACTGTGGCACAAAATTAGACGCTGGACATGGAAGAAAATCAGTTGTAAACATAGAGAAGACTTTCCATTGATCGTGGATGGAAAGTCAAAGACACTAGAAGATTTCAGATTTTTCAAAGGTTTTGAAGAGATCTCATTTGATGCCCATGCTTTCCATGGCAGAGACTACCATATGGACTTGGGAAAATTTTATCAGTATTTAGAGGAACACAATTGTGCTTACATTTTCAAAATCTTGCTTGGGGTTGATGGGAAAGCACCCTCAAGTTGATATTATTTTCCATACGAATGGTCATGCATAGAGGTCAGCCGTACATTGACTCGTGATTGAGTGGGTTCTTTTTAAGAAGGCTTTTTGGCATGAAATTTATCCAAATTATAAACACATTATACAGTATTTTAGTTAATTTGACATTAAGCAGTGGGACTAGGGAATCTGGTGATCATTGGAATTAAGACATTCTCCATAATTTATGAAATGTGCAAATATAATTACATGCATCAATGCAGTAGCAGTGACGTAAAGTTACAAATCTAAATTGTCTTTGATCACAATTTAAACAAACTAAGTCACCATCTAAAAATGCCAAAACAGTTGTTTGTTTAGTGACTAGACACATTTTTGTGAAAACACAAATGTGTACCGATAGATTCATCCATTCACCAATACAAGTTTTAGTTATAAATCTCATTTGAGGACCCCCTCGTCTTCATTTCTAATTCCCCCAACCAAACAGTATCTTCACAAGATTTGTTTCCTCCACTTGGCCGCTTTTACTGCTCACTGATTTACTTCCCATGATTTACTGTGCAAGGACTTTTGAACTGAACCAACAATTCAGTGTTGACAAATGCAACTATAACTGCAAATGCAGTCCAAAAATTAATTTGGTTATTCACAGCCGACAGTTGCCAAGTGTTTTAAAAATACCACTGACCCATTTTAGTGACAACGATTCAGAATATTTTTCAAATTAAATAAACTTTTATATACATACCATCATTAATGACATCCAATTCCTCTGGCAGTTCTCTTTTGCTTCTTGTCTGTGGAATTTTATATGCTTCTTGAAATGCATTTAGATGTTCATCAACTAGATCATCCACAGACTTCTTGAATCGTGCCATTATTTCATCCACATTGACTGATTAATATAAACAAATCTCAGGTTCATTATTTGCTTCTTGCATAAACATGTACACACCTATGACATGCAAATGAATATCAATGTTTTATCTCCCATTTTTGCTTAGTTTAATTATTATCAGTTTACGTTCAAGTGATTGTGTGGAAAGTTCTGTTCTTTGCGGCAGACATCCGGGCATTTTCACCGCCGACAACCATCACTGAAAACAAAGGCCGAAAACTGTACTTTCAAAGTCCGAGGTCCCAAGTGAAGCGCCGAGATTCACAGGTATAGTGCCGCGGACCTCGGCGCTAAAAAGCCCTGGGGAGAACCCTGCTTTGGGATAGTTGAGACTCGCCTGAACAGTGCAACAAGATTATCCGTTACATGTGCAATATGTACACATTTGGTTGCTCGGGATTACTTCAACGTAGAGTTTGTGCAGTTTCCCAGACTTTAGCAGTCTTCGCCAGCCTTTCGACTAGTGTTAGACCCCATTGAAATACTTTGTACACATCTTAGTAATGTTCAACGTTCTGTGACATAGCTCTGCCCTCATAATTTCCAGCGACAAAGTAATGAAGGACAGATGGCTTTAAATACAGTATTGTGTGTGCAGTGTTGAAAACAATATTGCAAAGAAATTGGTGTAGACGTATGCCATTTAAAAAGGCGTAATAGATAGAGGAAGCTTGGATAATTGTCAATATAATATGGGATAATTGTCACGGATGATCAGGCCAAACGTTTCAAAGCGCCCCCTAGTGTCAAGGCATACAATACGAATTCCAAATACAGCGCTAGTAGTTGATCGACAAGAGATGCATATTTACATAAATTCATAATCGTGAGTCAAATATAATTGGTGAACAAATAGGAGTAACATTTCTAAAGGCTCGTAGTTTAAACTTACCAGCATTGCGTTCCTCTGTACGTATGTACGACATCGCAGAGTCCATGATATCAGTGAAATCCAGACTAAAACCATTACAATTTATAAATAATATTACCACGACAAGCAAAGTAACGTGCCTCTTCGTGGTCCACATTGTGGTGGGAGATTTCGGTTACCTCGGACCTGTTCAAACTAAACAAGTCAATGATTATGCTGGAGATGCAATAACATTGCCCAATATTCACACGTCTGCCTCTGCTGTGCCGCCCCACCTCACACGTGCGAACACAAAACCTCAATGAATCAGTCTCCTTTCCGGATTTGTTTTTATCCCCCCCCCCTTAACAGCTAAACATAATTGTTAAACATTGCATCGTTAAACTCTGGTTTTCTCACAGGTACTCAGAACTTGTACCAGGTGGACGCTGATGATGCATCCTAAAGCCGCGTGCATTCAGGGTTGCGTAGGGTCTGTGTGGAGCTCCGAAACGCCATAGAATACGGATCAACTTTAGAAAACTATTCGAGTTTGTGACAAATAAATACTTAAAGAAAATTGGCATATAATTAATGAATTATGATAATGACTCCTTATCCGGCAAGTGTATTTACAAGAATTTGTATGTAGACTTATCACGACGATGCCGGCTACATTCGGGATATTATAATATGTGAATCTTTCCTGTGTAATGTACAACGTCGTGCATCAGTAGTTTAACAATGCCTTGATATCTTACCTGAAACTACCGCTAAGTAAAATGTAGAACGGAGCGAAACGAAATTAAACAAATGAAAAGAAACCGCTCTGAGGTCGGTCACGTCCGAATACCCACCACGCAATGAGCTACTTGGCAATGGTTATTCACCACACACCACCAGATTGAATTGTTTTTGTCAGATGTAAGCCAATTGATTGGCCAAGCTGGCTCTACAGAGCAGTTGTGATTTGTCTTCCAATCAAGAGTGGGTAAACATTTGGTTATTGACCAGGGCAGGTGAGAGATCACGTGGTGCCTGACTGCTTTATGGCACAGTTCAAGTTTCGACTACTTTTTCATTTAAAATTTTTTTTAAATACGGCTGACGTGAAAACAATAATTTAAAACACACACTCGGAATGGTAACAAATTACTAAACAATTAAATATGCAGGGATATGTGTTGTCAGCCAGACTAACATAATGCTCTCTCTCAGAAATGCGTGTAGAGGGACATGAAGTTGGGTATGGGAAATGAATACATGATCGTAAACACCCTCTGTGCCCGGACCGTATTGTCAGACTTGTAAACATCTCAAGACGTCCTGTTTCCATACACCTTCTGTAACATTCTCGGTTAATTTTGGCTGGTATAGGTAGGACATTTGAATCAAAAACAATCCCTGTTGACTGATTTTTATTTTATTTTTATAAATAAAAGCCAAGCCAAGTGCCCGGATGTAACATACGTGGTAATAAGGTGTCACTGAAGAGTAGATATTTTTTTGCAAATACTAAAAATCAAGATGGACTTTTTATATCCTTAGCTATATCTAACTATTCTAAGAGGTTTTAGAAGCTCTATCAAAATGGAACATACAGTGGTCGAAATTGACAACCAGTACTGTTATGGTGATTGAATTTGCATATTTGCATGTACTTTAAATAATTGATAAATCACAGTCAGGCATAAAACAATTTAAGAACACATTTATATCTGCATCTAGCTGACTATTTTACTTTTATGGGCGCGTACTTAGAATCTGTGTAAATTTATCGCGAGTCATCATCTTCAAGGTATTAGTTCGTCTGCGCATGCGTACTGGTAAAACGATTGCATCAACAAATTAAGGTCATAATTTTGGGGGAAATTTGTCATAAATCACATGACAATGTTTAATGATTAATTATGTAAAATCATTGAGCTATTTCCCATGGCACGATGAAATAGCATTCTTTTTGTGTTACAGTGACGTATTTTGTGAAACTTCATATGTTCAAAAATCGCTATTTTCCACGTAAAATTGCATTTTTTACACTTTAAAACGCAGATTTTTAAAATATATTTCAGGCCAACAAAAAGTATCGCATCATTTGTGTAGTGGTTTTTTTTTCAGCCTATGTCTCCCGCCTACTTGATTTAAGATATGACATGATATCGGTGCCATAGATGTACCCGACTTATTATGTCCCAATATCCTGTATAATTTACGAGTATGACGGAGATAATGGTTCTTATAAGTGTTTAATTACGGCGAATATTGTCTCATTAAACGCACCGCCACGTATATAAGGATTCTCCCGGAACTGATAACATACAATGTATAACAAATAAATGTTAGAAGAAAGAAATGAAAAAGTTACAGATTTGAATGCATTTAACTGTGGGGGGGGGGGGTTATAGTGAAATGGATCACCTATATACGTGTTAATAATTTATACGCTGCCAAATAGCGCGAACAACTTGAGCGTGAACGTCATCGAATAGTGCACTTTGCTCACAAGTACTAGTATTTGTCATACCATGACACGTGCTGATAGAGACTGTTTTATTTTCGCTAGCCAGTCTATGTGTCAATAATATCATTAGACTGGCAGGAATATCATGACGCATTTGATACGATTATGTTCAACCTTTAGAGGTCTGAGGTTCATCTTCGTCTTGCTCGCCGCTATCGTCTGCCATATCGTGATACACCTCTTTGAGGTGCGCCCTCCAGCGATGATACTCTTTGTGCAAATGGCGTAGACTATGTGTCGTGCTTGGAGGTAATATTAGACTGTGTTTAGTTGGCTGTGTAGTCGTTCGTCATCCAGAATATAGAAAATCCCTCATCAACAACTGCTTCGTATTACTTCGTAGTTGAAGAGCATTGTTTTATTCTAGTATACTGTCTTTACGTATAAATAAATAAATACGTTGAGGGCGCCCTGTCACGAACCATGCCTCCCCAATATTGACCACCGTTTGCGGGAGTAAGACTATGGGAGATTGGTACAATGTGTCAAACATGAAAATATCAATAACAGGACAATCAGAACTAGTGTTACATGCCATCATTTGGTAGGGCGTGATCTAATGGTAGTCAAGTCCCGAAGGAGTGGGGTTGCCTGCCGACCATGGTGGCAGACATCGAGTTGGTTCAAAAATATTCTCCACCGCGGCGCATCCGGGTAACACTAAACGAATTAATCGTTTTATTTACAAACCAGTGAATGCAAAACAACTGAATATCCATGCAACGCAAAATCCACAATATTATATCCATTAAATATTTCGATTGTGTGCGCTAACATGATATTGACGCAAATTTCGCACCAAGATGACAAACTAACCTAGATATTTTTATTTAGCCTAAAATGAGAGACTAAGCAGTTCCGAATCAAATTTCATTGTTTGAAAGCCGACACTCGGATTGATGGAATGCATTTATTTTACATTAACCGTATTTTTTATCCAAACATTGCTTTACCTCGGCTCGGTAACAGATGAATAATGTAATTAAAAAAAATAACAAAGCTCGCTACCTTTTATAATGTATCTACAATTTGAGTAAAGGGTGCAGTCATCTGAAAAAGCATCCGTTAACGCTACTAGTGGCCGTCACGTGATTTTTCGAAGAGAGCACACGACGCGTCTGCTGCGCTGAGTGAGTGACTATGTTCTGGCACAGTCCCTCAACACCTGTGGTTCTGGATAGGATTACTGTTCGGGCGTTTGATATCGTTTTTTGTTATGTACGGTTATTTACACTTGTATACACGTAGTACGCACAGTTACCTTCATTTTATACAACCTATAAGAGATTATACTGAACATATTTATCAATTTGTTATTAGTTCTTTTTTTTTTGTATAATGACACGGGCGGCAGGCATCGAGTTAGTTTTGACGCATATTTAAAGCGGGGTGTCGTCACCTGAGCATGCGTCAGTTGGCCATAGCGTGTCATTGTTTACAAACAAGCGTCTACTCATGAACCTTTGCGTTCTTGGTGTGTATTGTTATCATCGATCGCTTGGGACTCAATTCCCGCGCGTGCGCAAGTGACCACCCTCCCGATTTAAGTTAACGGATTGAAAATAAATGGCCATACTGAATCTGAACTACGTCAAATATCTTAAATTACACGTTTAGTAACATGGTGCTAAATTTCAAAAACAAATCCAGGACTCTATAATCACTGTTTATATATAGTGCCTATTTCGGATTCTTGGACGAACGAACTGCCTACACTTGAATACGTCATCCAATTTTTATCACATTGAATTTTCCATACGTTCTTCGTGTCGATATTATATATTCGTGACGTGACGTACTTGATACTGTGAATACTGTGAATATGTTCCGCTAATGAGAAATACTTTATCTGATTCATTAAAGCGGGAGGATCGTCACTTGCGCACGCGCGGGAATTGAGTCACAACCCACGATAACAACACTCGCAAAAAAACGCAAAGGCTCATGTGTAGACGCTTGTTTGTAAACAATGACACGCTATGGCCACCCGACGCATGCTTTGGTGACGACTCCCCCGCTTTAAAAAATAATCCACTAGAGCAACACATTGTACATCTGTATGCTTCGGATCACAATTCAAGATTGTTATCCTAAGGTGTCCGAATTGACTACCTAACGTGACGTAACAAAAATCGAGCGTATATGGAGAGCTATCCCATAAGTCGTACATTTTCGAAAGACTATAATGTGTCAGGAATGCAATAAAGCGTGACAGATTGCAATCGCGCTAGAGGAGAACTTTAATGGTTATTTTTAAGATAAGAATGTATAACTCGCGTGTCTGCATTTTCTTATCTGCAAATGTTTTTTTTTTTTTATTAAAGGGGTTGACCATTTGAAATCTCGAGGTGAAAGATTTTTTTTTTAAATAATTTTAAAACTTGACAGCTAGAGTAAAATAATGCATGCACGATTTTGCGGGGGAAATGTCAGCACATTCAAGAAAAAAATCACCGGTTGCTCTGAATACTTCTCGATTCATTAGTCGACACCCATCAGTGTTACAAAGTGACAATCGTCAACTAGTTTAATTTACAAATCAGATTTAAAAGAATATAACCGGACGTGGTGATTAACATTTACATGCTAAATTAGGCAACCATATGAATATATGACAGCAAAAAAAAAAAAAACTGACAAAATCTACAAAAAAAAATCAGAATCACAAAGCTGAAACACTTGCTAAAAATAGACTTGCTTTACTATGAGCATTTCGATCTATCATAAAATCTGATTGTGCAAATACTAACATTGCTATTTCATATGTATATTAAGTTAATCAAATTTCAATGATATTACTTAGCGCTGATACATAACTTTTTTTTTTTTTTTTTTGTATTTAAAACATTTTTATTGAGTCAATTTACATAAGCACTTTACATAGTTAAATGTATGTGTACCAAAAAATTACATTGCACAACAAACAAGTAAAAAGTCTTCACAAAAATATTACAATTTTTCAGGAATTCATGCTGATATGCTAGGTCGTTGCTACAATTTTCATAAATTTTCCCCATTTTTTTAAATGTTTTCCCAATTTACCTTTTCTGTTTGCAATCAAGTACTCAGTTTTCTGTACCCTCTGCACGAAGTCTTTAAATTCCTCAAATTTTGGTTTGTTACCCTGACATCTGCAAATATAAATAAACCTCCTGGCTATCAAAAGCAAACAGTTTAACAGGAGGGGAAGTTTTGTTTTTAACTCATTAACTTTGTTAAATTTCGGAGCAACAATTTTCAAACTGCTTACAATTTCAATATAGTCCGAGTCAAATCTCGCCCATTCATCACGTGATTGAAGTGGAACGCTGAACATGTCAGTTGGTCGGCACGATAAAACCGCTACAACAAAACAATACAATATTTCCAGGTTCACACATATGTACGCAATTTATAATGAAAACGGATCATAATCGTACTCACAATAAGTAACATAACTTAGAAAGACTGAAAACGAACACACTTATTACACCCAAGAATATATAAAAAAAATGTCATATATAAAATAACCTGTGTATTAAATTTGGCCCGGAAGTGTCTAGTCAAAAGTTGTTATTAACAGAATCCAGGTTACTCTACTATCGCCTAGGCACGATGCTAGTAAAATCTCATGGCGGCCAGCTCCCGACAGCAAGTTTGATTGGTTGAATAACAAAAAAATCACATTGAGATCGTATGATTGTGGGGAATTCCCGCGCGTGCATTTCACTGTGCAATACAATATATCTATATTAGGCGCTGACGATCTCCCCTGGCGCGTGTCTTGACATGAATATGAATGCGTAATGAGATATCGCCAGCATTGTAGTTAGGCGTAAATGGAGTGACGTATGGCGAGCAGAACGCCGCATAGATTCTAGGCCGCGGACCACTTAAAGTGGAAGTTAAAGATAACAAACGTATTATCATTAATCAATAATACGACGCACAAAGGAATTTTATCACTCGATCAAGCGTTGACATTTTAATGACATCAAGTTTACAGGTTACTCTCAACCGACGGCTCTTGACTTCTCGATGATTCTCTGTCTTCTTCATGATTGGAGTGATCTGGAAAGTAGAAGAAATGTGATCATTACCTGTCATGTACGATGACAACCACACTAACACCTGATACAACTTGCTCGATCGACGTAGTAGTATATACCCCGTACAACAATTAGAAGTTACGTAGTAGTTTAGACCAGAAAGTGTTAAAGAGCGGTAATCGTCGCGCCACACATGCGCGAGATATATGAGTCTCATATAAACAAAGATGGCGACTTTAACTGTTGCGCAGATAGATCAACAAGTACAAACTGAGACGTTACCAAGCTTTAAATAGGTATTTTATTAGGTGTTTAGAAGGTATCAAAGGTCGAACCTCATGTATTTGTGATTTTCATTAGAAGAGCGCATTGGATTATGGGAAAATCAATGTTTATCAACACAAAAGTCGCACATACACAGCGCGGCGACTACCGCCCTTTAAAGTTGGACACAAATATGACACTTTGAAAGCGGCCCAGTGCACCGTGTCGTGCTCGATGTGGGTTTAATAAACATTGTTTATTTACACGAATGTTGGAGCAGTAATTTTGGGTTCTTTGTACTGTGTTATGTGACTATTTGATAGTGAGAACGGGAAATGTTTAAGGAACACAATTAAAAAAACGTTAGAAAATGAAATTCGATGAGCAAATAAAAAGAAAGCCCTGATGGTTTGGCAACATTCGGACGCGAACGCCTTTTCATATGTGGCATTATTTTCCTACTTTGGACAAGTGACCTACTAGCTGTACGTTTATTCCCGGTAAATCTCCGAGTCCACAGATGTACTCACAAGAAACATAAGAAACGCTGTTGTAAATCATACCCTGCACTTTTAATTTGGGTTTCGTCACAGTGCAACGTGTGGAGCGGTGGCTGGGGTTTGATGCCCAAGCATCAACCACAGCAGGTCTCCGACAACCAAAGAAGATTCTTTTCAAATACACTCATTGGAATGGTCCTTTCGATGTCACGTGATATGCATTAAATTGTTAATGTACAAATGATACAATGGTTTACCATGAATCTTTTATTTTTTTCGTTTTTTCGTTTATATATGGCTGCTGCTGGCTTACACGATAAATCGAGTCGCTTGCAACTTACACGTGACTTGGCGCAATCAACTCAGTTTATCCTGTGAACTGATGGCCACAAATTGAATCCCCTATACTAATAGTGCAAACACAAAAATATAAAAGTCTCGTCTTATAGTGTAACTTTAAGATAAAATCGTTTTCACACCCCAACAGTTAGAAAGTACGCCCATCTTCAATCTAGTTTTTGTTTACCTATTTATTTGTACACGTCAACCAATAATATGAATATGCATGAGATGATAATGAGCTAACTCATATCGACGTCATTCCTCTATTTTGAAATAAGGTTTACAATATATAAACCGGCGAATATAGTATACCTGCTTTGCTGACGTCATGTGCTGACGGTATTGCTTCTTCGATAATAGACAGTTCTGAAGTAATGCTATGGTAACCACCAGAATGTAACTTCTCTTTGCTCTCAGCTAGATCTATGTGTCTGTGCATTCCTTGTAGCAAAATCTGCTCTTTCACCACTTGCATTTTGGAGGAAACGTCTTTACCAATAACGTTTTCTAACACGGCTTTGAGGAATTGGTTCTTTGATAAATAACGCGTGAGCTGGTGTCGAGGCCATGTTAAAAAGCGGCAGTTGGACAACGCCCGGATTGAAACCTAAAAAAAGGAAACCTGTTAGAGTTGCATTCTGGGATTATTGCTAAAGTTCATTGGGCTCGCGGGGTTCTTTGTGAATTATCTGAGGGTCTGAATAGTTACTGATTCGCATGGAATCGCCCTTATTTCGAATTACTGCGGCTTTCACTAATTCGTAACAGAAGCGAATCTTTGTGAATCCATCATGCAATGCAAGGAAGCTGAAATGAACGCCAAAATTCGAACACACTAAAAATCAATACATTTTAACGTTTATCACAATGATCGGGTACTGAGCGATACGATTCAATCTGTGCCGAGAAATGTATGGCACCTTCCATATTATACATATAGATGGAATCAATATGCGTTGTACTCTCACTAAATAGTTTTATTTTATTTTTAATTTTGTCATCGAATCCACTGAGAAATACGGCCATGAAGTGTCGAGTATTTTATCACAGGCATTTGCGTGTACGACTGTGTATACGAGAACCAAAGGCAAGGGTTCTATTCAAACTTGGCTCTAAACGATGCGAGCCGAATTTCGAACCACGTTCGACCACAAGCGTCCAAACGCACAAGAGATACTAGTAATCTCCTGTTAGGAGGAACTATACTTCGGCTCCGATAAAAAGCTGCCGTAAACCTAGCAATTATCATAATCGATCAACAACTCAGAAAATAAAACGACACAGAACGATATTGAGTTGCTATAAAAAGTTAATGGTTGAAATAAGCAATATATAATAAACTATATGTCGGATAAGGCATACATAACTATTAAACGCGCTGTTATATATGCCGTTGCTGTGGACACGGTTTTGGTTACTAAGGAAACACCCACCTTACTTTCCCCGTCAATGTTGTCTATATTTGGTTCGGAGGGGATAACAATCAATACGAATTTTTCAGAATCGTATTTATACGAAATGATAATGTCACATTACCCTTTAAATTCTGTGCAGTTAATAGAGATCAACCAAGGTACATGTTTATTGACATGATAATTTCTGCATGGACAATAACATGACAACACGTCATAGACTCGGCTTGACGTGTGTGGAGTACGATAGTTCTTTTCACGAGTGATACGATGGATGTATTATGCAACCGTATTGTGACGACTGTAGTGTTTCAATGTTTACACCCCCCGCCCCGTAATGTTGCCAAAATGGACGACACACGGACATATTATATAATGTGTTCTATTCACCTTCGACACGTAGCCACTATATATTATGACAGACAATCATGCGAAGTTTGTTTTGAGTAAAACTAACTATCGACACTAAGTGTTTAGCAAATGTCATTGTTTAATCACATCGAAATGAGTAAACGTGGAGCGTTAAAGCACTTTCCATAAAATGCAATAATTTAGCATAGCATGAAGAAATCTTTACGATTTGATGCAACCAATTAATTTAACGAGTTTTATATTAGTGTTAGTTTTACATTTTACAGTGAGCGACGGCGAAACTACTATTGGAAAAAAACATACGATACTAACTGACACAACAAACCCATTCTCTTCATTCATAAACATTTATAAGTTTCACAGTTCATACTGAAACGAGAACTGCCATTGAAATTTTTAATTTTTTTTTTTTTTTAAATGAAGGGAATACTTCTGTTGTGTCGATAGTATCATGTGAATGATGATGCATATGAATGTTATTAAACGTGCGCCGAAATGTTCAATTGTTCCAAACCTTTTGCGAGAAGTAAGTGACAATTATCGCGCGCGCTTAATAAATTTAATATTGTAGGTTTACGAATTTGATATCCCGTTTAATATCGCACGTAACCAATTTTGAGCGTGTATTTTAGACTCAACAGAGAATTGTCTCATTTGCATAAACGGTCATGAACGTCGATTACCGTCAGTTTAAAACCAATATCGGCGCAATTTTTCTTACGTTTTTTGGAGTGCATTGGAAACGAAACTAGAGTAAATTCAATCGGTGGTCTTTATACAAATAGGGAGAATTAGGAATAGTGCTTCGCTCAGAACACACATACAGTTTGCTTAAAATCTGAAAAAGCCAGAGCCATTCGAATTAGCGTAATTTCTAATGACCAGTTGAGAAATATTTTGTAAAGCCCTTCTCCCCCAATGTATCGAGGCTTGGAAGTATTCGAAGACTGTGGTCAGCCATAATGTCAAACGTTCATTCTGTTACATTGAACAATAGGATTACTTTGCTTGTTATTATACAGTGTAAAAATATCAAACATTATTACCCTGCTTATTAAACTGAATTACCATGATATATGAGATAAATTTTTTATCGCCAATTTCAATATATCGAGCGAGGTGTAATTGTGTTAAATATACAATGCCTATATTATGTATTGTATTGAAAGTCTTCAACTAATCTAGCTTCAGTCGGTGTAGCGTTTAATATATATTGATATGCATGTATAATGGAGAAACGGTCTTGAATGATTTTTTTACGTAGTAATAAGGCCATATCTGAATCACTCAAAAGAACAGAATATCGCGAGTCAGATATGATGCCGCCCCAATACTGGAAACTCAATCGGAAGCATCTCACGGAAATACTCGGTTATTTGTAAGAATGGTGATGATATAAAAACCAACAACATATAATACTCAACGCCACCGACGTTTTATGTTAAATAATAACAAAACTCGACACTCGGGTACGGTACCCAATCGCCTATCTACACGTCACATTTTCCCCTCCTGCCACCGGGCTTCCCATTAACAAGGTCATTACTCACAGAAACCGTTAGCAGCTACTACGAGCTTACAATCATTTAACATATATCATAAATGGTGTTATGTAATTATCCCACAGTGGTTCCGTCACCATAGTTTGAATCACACTCACCTGTCACAGATAAGGTCACCACTCTGAATAAACTAAATAAATGATTAGTTAATCAATTGGATGAATTAATAAATAAATACTCACGAGGAACGCATCACCCGAGCCATGGCTGATTGATATCCATTCCGGGGAATCCAAGAATTCAGTCGCATGTACTTGATGAAGAGGTATGCCCTCACATGTTGTGATCATTCTAAAAACAAGAGGATAACAGTAGAGAATGACATAAGCAATTATCGTGACTGATTTGTTCGTAGATTAACTTACTGGGGCTGTTTTAAAAGCGGATTAATTGAAGTATATAACAATCTACTGCCTTCCAATCGATCAATCCTGACCCCGCGTGACCTAAGTCCTAGATTTCCTAGTAGAGGCGTAACATGTTTACTAATCTACCATCGCAAAATGTCACCGTTAAATATATAAAGAGATGACGTCAAAACTGTCAATTTTCTTTTACATATTATGATTTGCTTGCGATGCATTTAGTTCAGATACTACTAGTTACTGTATTGTCCATGTGTTTGTGAATTGATAACTGTGTAATACTAATACGGTGTTCAGAAGGAATGGCCATTACCTTTCTCTGATTACGAGCTCAAATAATCCGATGTACAGTTGGGAAAAGTCGGCCATTAATTGTTTATAGATAGAGCAGTTATACTCGGGGGCGGAGCTACGTCACAGACGTTCCACGTTGCTAAGACGCGCACCACTGTACCATGCATTTCTATGGGCTCTGTGCGCGCTGCTGTGGAACGCCGGTCGAGCCGGTGAAAATTCGAGAAAACAATACAAACTCAACTTTGAAGTAATCCCGAACAATCAAATTTATATATGTTACACACGTAGGGCTAATCTTGTTGCACTGTTCAGAGGAGTCTCAACAATCACCCCAAAGTACCGTTTTCTGCGAGTTTTGGGCCTTTGTTTTCACCGCCGCTGGTTGCCAGGCGGTGAAAATGCCCGGATGTCCCCCCCCCGAGGATACCGTTTAAAAGACAGAATATGAATGTTGAGGCTGGTTCACACACAATTGGAACACGTTTTCGGTAGCTTGGCAATATATCAATATTTTAATATCATGACAGAAACATTCTCCGGATTATCATTGGCAAATACTGAATATATCAGTTTATCAACGGTCGACGTCTCTACAGGAAAGATGATCCAGTTTCACTTTTCTCGCATGTCTTCAATTTTGCAACAATATTCCACCTTCTCCGGTGTATGGAGGTATTCACCCGTGCTATTCAATTACATATGCCGGGGATTTGAATTTCTCGACATGAATTATTATGTAGACATGTAGAGTACCTTGCTAGCATGCGATTCAAAGTGATATAATGTCGGGTGCCATATGTGACCACAAGAAGTGACGCCATTCTATGCGTAAAATTGCCCCCCCCCCCCAATCTGGATGTGGTGTGACATGTTGCAGTTAGCGTTTTTTTTAAGTTTTGTACTATACCACCGTGACTATGCCTGTTTTTAAATTGGCAGCAATGTACTGACACATGTGTATAATGCATAGTAACCTGCACACCCAGTGGTCGCGTTGTTAAAGTACATATTATCTATGTAATTCGTCCCCACGGCGTTCAGATTTTAATGATTAATCTCAAATGTTCGTAATCACCGTATTAAAACATGGGCTATGGAGTCCCGTGGACTAGCCGTGTGGGCAGCGGACACTCATAATTGGGTTCGTTGCTGTGACGCAAATTGCAAACATCACATGTCGCCGGAGATTTATATGCTCACACCCTAAGAATAAATAGCATTTGTTCTGAGAAAACATATTTCCCTGTGCTCCTGGATTGTATATCATATATTTCATGTTAGTTGTGAATTATTTTTTCAGTATAATTTTGTAATAGAATTTATTTATTTATTTATTTATTTATTTATTTATTTATTTATTTATTTATTTATTTATTTATTTATTTATTTATTTATTTATTTATTTATTTATTTATTTATTCATTCATTCATTCATTCATTCATTCATTCATTCATTCATTCTTCATTTATTTATTTATTTATTTATTTATTTATTTATTTATTTATTTATTTATTTATTTATTTATTTATTTATTTATTTGTTTGTTTGTTTGTTTGTTTGTTTGTTTGTTTGTTTGTTTTTGTTTGTTTGTTTGTTTATTTGTTTGTTTGTTGGTTTTGAAATACATATTATTATACTTCGAGAATGGAAGGTATTGAGACAAGT